TAAGAAAAATGGGTAAATTCAGGTCTGGATCCCTGAATTTCATGCACTTCCTAAAATGGTCTACCAACTTTACGATTTTACAATTTAATCCTCACTTTTTTTCAAAATATTACTTAAATTCAATACTTTATAATTTCTAAAATTTAGCCCCTAAATTGGGGTGTGACATATGAATATATCTCATTATTCTCTATTCATTCTTTAAATTTTTCTCATATCTCTTTAAAACTTATGAAATTAAACAATTCATCATTTTTAGAGATTTAAAGAGTCAAATTTGAAGATTTTGGGATGTTTTTTTTTAAATTCAACTTGTGAGAAACATTCATTCGAGAAGACAAATAACATACCTCCAAATTAATTTTATTGGATGACCGTCAAAGGAGATCAAAGAATTAAAATGTTGAACCTTTAAATATATATTTTTTCAATTTTAAATGAATTTTGTAAAAAAAATCAATTCGATGAGAAGAAAGAAAAGTGAAATACGAATATTTTAATACTAATCTTGTTGTGAATCATGACCAATAACAGATGATAATTGACCAACAACAACGAATAAAAGAGTTGACTATTTTTCCAAAGGGACCAAATCGATACATAAACTAAAGTTTACAACTTAAAATTAACATATTTTTAAAGTTAGTGAGAAGAATGATACACAAGCTAAAATTTATGAAGAAAAATGATCACTTTATTATATTGTTAATGACTCAATGTCCTAATTGAACCGAAACGCTTAAAATAATTTAAAGTTTAGTAATGAAAATAATAAACAACCTAAAATTTAATTGTAAAATAGGCATCATAATCACATATAGGATGTAGAACATGAGTGCATTAGAAATTTTAGGGTTTAATAATCATTGTCAATGGTGATTATGTTGACCAACTTTGACAATGGTGAGTGACACTCAATAATGGGAGATTTATCAAATTTAAGGATTAAATTTATATTCTATCTAAAATTTAGTGATTAAATTGATATTTTAATGACTAAAATATCACGTCATTCAACTAATGGAAGATAATATTTTAAAGACTAAAGTATAAAAACTGATAATATAAATTATTAAAATTTAATTTTTTAAAATTTAATGAGAAATTTGTATAAATATAAAAAGGAAGTGATGAAATAGTTTACCGTTACATAAGGTTTAAAACTATCACAGTAGTTTTACAATTGGTAACTAGCAAACACTTAAAATCGATAATTTAATGAGTACTAAAATGAAACATAATAATCTAATCAATAATTCTTTTATTTGCTAATCAGTATAGAATCGATCATATAGTTTAATAATTATATAAATACTTTATTTTATTTTTATAGTATTAATACTACTTACACCTAAGAATATGATAATTTATGGGAAAAAATATTTTTAAAATAGATATATGCTTATCGAATATATATTCTTATTCAACCTCGTCCCATGTCTATAGACTTCTGCTGAGTTTCTGTCGAATTTCAATGCCGCAAAAGGAAAAAAAAAATAAGACTTAATATCATCATATGAGATTAGGGATCGCAACTAATTGAGTTGGATTGAGCTTTTGGTCAATCTAATTTAACCTATAAATTATATATATTCCATCCGATTTAATCTGACTTGAAAAATATATGTTCCATCTTATTTTGATCAAATTCGAATTTTTAGAGTATAAATTGGACTTGGCCTGATTCCATATAAAATAAAGACTTAATTAAAAATAATGATTTTTTAAGGAAATTATATTTTTACCCTAGGTCGGAATTTTTTTACCATTCACCTAAACTTGATTTAAAAAAATCTAATTCTATCAGATCGATCATGTTAAGTTGAGACCCGTCCTTTTCGATTTAAATTGTCATCTTGTATGAGATCGAGGATTTGTTTACCAAGTTTATGGTCTTGTCCGGAGTGGCTGATTTCCTATGCATGTGAAAGTTTCAAGAAGGTCCTAACTTATATATAGGGATGTAAAATCGGGTAATCATTTAGGTTTCAGTCATATTCTGTCAGGTTGAGTAAAATCGGATACATGTCAAGTCAGGTAAATTTGATACTTCGACTCGGATCAGGTCGAGTCCATGTCAAATCAGGTTGGGTAATTTTCAGGTTGATTTGACACCAGGTTCAGTTAGGGTTCAGTTCGGATCTATGCCAGTTCATGTCAAAACAGTTCAGGTCCGGAGCAGTTAAAAAGAAGGTTAATTCAGGTTCGGATGGAGTTCAGGCTGATCTCGTTCAAATCGGGTCACATCATTGGCAGATAAAATTCAGGTCGGATCTCTATCAGATACGGATTGAGTTCAAATCGGATTAATTTTTATTTTTAGATTAATTATTTTCGTCTTTCGCGAACGTTGAATTGCAATTTGTAATTGTATATGATTTAGAGTAAATTACTAAGAATATAAATAATTATGGTTCAATTTTATGAAAAATACAAATTTAATAATTAAATTGAACAAATATGAAATTACAAATTAAAATTTAAATAAATTAAACAACACGCATTGACGAGGGATCAAATCAAAATAATTTTAAATTGTGAGGTTAAAATTAATATAAAAAAGTATTAAATTTTACCCATTTAAAAAGTTACGGGCCAATTAAAAATATAAATAAGTAATAAGTATGGGTCAATTTCATATGCAAATATAATTTTGAGGACTAAATTGAACAAATATGAAATTACAAATAGAAAATTTAAAAAAATTAAATATTGATGAGGGATCAAATCAAAATAATTTTAAATTGTGAGGTTTAAATTAATACAAAAAAGTAATAATTATACTCATTTAAAAAGTTATGGGCCAATTAAAAAATACAAATAAGTAATAAGTATGGGTCAATTTCATATGCAAATATAGTTTTAAGGACTAAATTGAACAAATATGAAATTACACATTAAATTTTAAATAAATTAAACAACACACATTGATGAGGGATCAAATCGAAATAATTTTAAATTGTGAGGTTTAAATTAATACAAAAAAGTACTAAATAATACCCATTTAAAAAGTTATGGGCCAATTAAAAAATAAAAATAAGTATGGGTCAATTTCATATGCAAATATAATTTTAAGGACTAAATTGAACAAATATGAAATTACAAATTAAATTTTAAATAAATTAAACAACACAAAGGGGTCAAATCAAAATGATTGCAAAATGTGAAAATAATACTGTAAAATTGACTAAATTGCATTCATTTCAAAAGTTGAGAAAAAAATTGAAACAACTATAATATATATATATATATATATATATATAATATTAACTATATAGTTTATATATAAAGTATATGTAATATATATAAACTATATAGTTTATATTTATATTATTATATACTATATATAAACTATATATTATATATATATATTATGTATAAACTATATATACCATGTATAAACTATAATACTATATAGTTTATATATGAACTATTGAACTATATAGAAACTACATAGTTTATTAATATAAATTATATAGTTTATATATAAATTATATATGAATTATATATAACTATACAATTTATATTATATATTATGTATAATTATAAATAATATATTGTATAAATTATATAGTTTATTAATATAAACTATATAGTTTATATATATATATAATATATATGGTTTAGGGTTTATGATATATGGTTAATTTATGGAATTATATATAAATTATATAGTTTATATATAGTAGTATTTAAACTATGTATTTATGACTGCATATGAATACTGTTCAACTATGTATTTATGTATTTATTTATACATGCTTTGCATTTTATCTATATTTTTAATTTTCTGACTGCCGGAGGTCTTCCACGGAAGCTACTCTCAACCTGGCGTTGGGGGCAGCCTACTACCCTACCTCCCCCTTACCCCATTGCATATGGGAATTGGGTTTTGTTGTTGTTGTTGTTGTAAACTATATATATTATATAGTTTACATATGAACTATATGTATAAACTATATAAACTATATGTATAAACTATGTAAACTATATAGTTTACATATAACCTATATATATAGTTTATTAGTGAACTATATATACTATTTGTATAGTATATACTATATATATAAAATATAGTTTATATTTATATTTATATACTATATATTATATATATATAAACTATATATACTATATAGTATAATTTACACATGAACTATATATAAAAACCCTAAACTATACAGTATATAGTTTATATTTATATACTATATATATGAACTATAGTTTACATATAAACTATATAGTTTATATACTAACTATAGTTTACATATAAACTATAGTTGATATTTACATATGAACTATATATAAACTATATAGTTACATATGAACTATATATAGTTATTAGTGAACTATATACTATTTGTATAGTATATACTATATATAAAATATAGTTTATATTTATATTTATATACTATATATTATATATATAAACTATATATACTATATAGTATAATTTACACGTGAACTATATATAAAAACCCTAAACTATACAGTATATAGTTTATTAGTATATATAACTATATAATATATAAACTATATGGTATATAAAATACATTATATATATTTCATTAGTATATATAAACTATATATTATATAGTTCATTAGTATATATAAACTATATATTAATTTATTAATATAAACTTATATATTAATTGAAAGAATTGGAAAATATATAAAGATCAAATTGAAAAAAATTTAAATATGAAGCTTAAGTTAATAAATTGTAACATTAAATTTGGATTAAATTAAATAAAGTTGAAATATGAAACTTAAATTAATATATTACATCATTAAATTTGAACTAAATTGAATAAATTTAAAATTAAAAGACAATGCTACAATGTCAAATAAAATTAAAAAATACGCGGATTTTCTCCCTGACTTAAACCACAAGGTTATGCTAACTGTGGCGCCAAAATCAACATCATTTCCCGCCAAATAATGTTCCTTTTCTCCAACCAGCAGGCTGTTCGATGTTTACAATTACTGTTTTCCTACTTGTAACGAAGCGCAGTTCGATGTGGGCGGCCACCCCAACCCTCTCTTTCCCTTCTCCCATTTCGGGAAATTGTCGAACACGTAAAAGCTTCAACCTCGGCCTAAGAGCATCGCTCTTTGACTATCCTCTTGCTGGCAGAATCTTCGTTACGAGTAAAACCCCTCTCTTTGTTTACAATTACTGTTTTCCTACTTGTAACTTTCGCTTTCTTTTCCCAAAATTTGAGTAATTGTCTGTCAAATAGCTTTTCTTTTTAATCACATGCCATCAGGATATACCTCATCACTGTTATCATGACTATTGATTGTTTTTGTTCCTCTGATGATAAAAATCTAGGCAAAAAGGTTTAGGAATATGAATAGCACTATAGGCTGATTTTTCAATTTCGGAAATCAGATTTTGTGTAGAAACAAATACATCCTTATTAAGCAAGAGAATTGACTTCGGTGAGGAGTTAGGGTTGTAAATGAGATGACATACAGATTTTAATCTATTCGAGTTCGACGCGGTCAAAGTTCGGTCAACACTCAAATCAAATGACTTGATTTGAGTTTAACTCGAGTTCTAAACGAATCGAAACGAATTATTTGATACCCAACTTAATAAGTTCACGAGCAAATAGAAAAAAAGTAATATATTATATTTTATTTTTTTCAATTAAATTATTAATAATATTAATATATATGTGTTGTTTAAAAAAATATAGTACAAAATTTTTATGTACTTCATGTTCTAGTTTGAATTGAGTTTGAGTTCGAGCTTAGTCTGAAAATATTTTGAGTTCAAGTTTTTTTTAGCTTGATAATTTTAAGCTCGTGAGCTTTCGAGTCAAGCTCAACAATACTCAAAATTAACTCAACTCGTTTACATCCCTAGAAGAGATCCCTCTTTGTCTTTGCATCGAACTTTTCGTATTGTTTCTCATATAAGGGTATGCAAATTAAGAGAAATTTTCCAATAAATAATGCAGGTTTGGAAAGATTGTTGGCAATATTGCGATTTTACTAGTATTTCCACTATGTATATAACCAAAACAACTGGAAAGAGCTTAGTAGGATTTGTTTGTGATGGTGGAATCCAATATTGAGAGGAAAAATTGGAACAAAACCATCAATTCCTAGCTTCGTTTCAGTCGAATTAGATTCATTGATGCTATTACAAGAAGATAAAGAGATGGCAATAGTTCCATCAGATATTCTTTGCTCTTGTATTTTAGAGTTGCATTTTTCAGTCTTTCCCTAATTTATGTCCTGGCATCTTTTGGGTGTATTTGCTGCAGATTTTCCATATTCTACCAAAGAAAGGCGTTTGCAGAAGGAATTTTCCAATTTTGGCGAAATAGCTGAAGGTGATTGGGACATTTCTCATCGTTAAATGGAATTAATGGATGATATGTTTCATCTCCAATCTTGTGTGAGCTTCAAAGTCTATAACCATACTTCTATCTATAACAGTTAAGCTTGTCAAGGATGAATTCACAAAAAGATCAAAAGGATATGCTTTCATTCAATATACTTCTCTGGATGAGGCTATGGTCGCCGTAAAGAACATGGATCAACAGGTTTCATGTTGCCTTTCTTTCTTTATTGCCAACTTGCTCGTATTGTAAAAGTAGACATATAGAATACTATTTGTAGATCATTCGTAGATTACACCTACCTTCTGTCATCCCTTTGAGTGAAGCATAATTTCAGAGATTCTAGTTCTCTTTACAAGATGAATAGGTTCCTTTACTGTTAAGCTACTACTGTTTACAACTCTTAGTTCATCAAACTTACTTTTATGATCTGAATTTGAGAACCCAGATGAAATTCTGAGTTATATAACTTTGATCTGCACGCAATATTTCTACTTAGATTTTAATATGGGTTTTATGTTTGTCAGGTATTTGATGGCAGGAAGATATATGTTGAAATAGCTGAAGGTGTATAGTTTGTGGTTACCATTCTGATCCGGTTGTGGTTCAATAATTCTCAAGTTCCAAATGGGCTCGAACTTTTAGAAAATTTTAAGTTAAGTTTACTTAAATTATTAATCAATTTTCACATTAAAAGTAAATTAGATTTATGAATATTTTAACTTAATTAATATAAATTAATAAAATCAAGTTCAATAAGATAATATTTAAATTTAATTTAGTGATTATAAATAAAATTTATAATATAAGAAATATAAAGAATTGAAATTAACATAAAAACCAAATTTATAATATACAAATTATAATTAATATAAAAATTAAATTTAAAAAAATAATCATATTAATTTAATTATTATAAGTTTATTATAAATTTAAAATAACATAATTATATTAATTATAATTTTATTTATAAGTCAGGATAATATCATATCATTTTAACATGTTGGATCAATTACAGGTTGAGTCAATTACATGTCAGGTTCATAACAAATCAGATTGAAAACAGGTCGGGTAATATCAGTTATTTACTAAATCAATCTCGGGTTCGGGTTCATATCAGTCGGATGCAGTTCGGGTTCGGGTATCATATTTTCGGTTCAATTCGGGTTCAGGTCGTTCTCAGGTTGGGTTCAGATTTATAATTTCCAGGTCCAACTCGAGTTCAGGTCAACACCAGTTCTGATTAGAGCCGGTTTTGGATCGTCACAGCGCAGGTCAAAAACAGTTTTGACTCGAATCGATTTCAGTTAGTTTTACAGATCGGGTCAACTTTTTACACCCCTACTTATATATTATAAAATTTGGTCACCATCTATGATAATGGTGCTGATCTTAAACCTCTAGGTACCAAATTGTGTTATAATACAATTGTCACAGTCTATGACATCTTTTTGATACATACGTAATTTGTTTTTAGGCGTTATTTTACATCCATGAATGGCTTCTCCGGCTATTAAATTTTTTTTCTTCTTGTTTCACACAATCTATTAATGATTATCATATTTCCCTTTTACTTCTTTGGTTTTTATACACTGGAATACTCAACTACATTGTAGCTTCACTTGATATGAACATAAAAGGAGACCACTCTTTCTAACTAAAAACAACTCAACTCAAAAAATAAAAACAAAAACAAAAATTGCCTCTTAAGATGTACCTAAGCTAAACTCCAAACACGGATTTAAATTGCGATTATGATCGTGTTTATTATTATTGTAGATATAATAGATGTTATTACGGTTATTGCAAGTATCGCAGTCATATAATAATAATTTCGAATTATACCGCTATCGCTATATAACGATCGTTATTCTAATAACGGACTACTATTTAAATTACTGACTCCAAAAACTACAACTCGGTAATAGCTACGAAATACTAATGACAAAAACTAAGCTACCGGAAACCCCATCTTCATGAAATGGAATCTACTTTATGGGTCCAACTTGACATTGATGGAATGACACTTTTTGTATAACATAATGCAATAAAATAACTTTAACGTTTAATAATAGTATCAAATATATTCGTATTATTTTTTATATATTCGTCCACTCAACGTTTAATTTTGGGTAAAAAATCACCCTTGGTGGATGGAAACCGTCAGTCAACTGACGATCAACGCCTGATGCTGACCAAACATGCACATATGGACGTGGATGCTGAATTGGCTTGTCCATATCAAAGCTCATGATAATGTGATATCACCACGTCAGAATTTTTAAAAAATAAAATAAATAATTATTATGATTAATATTATTTATATTTAATTATTTATATCCAATCAGAGAGTAACACGTGTCACTCTTTAATTGATGTTTGTTTAAAAAAAACCCTTAAAAATGGCTTGGAAGGGGAATCAAACCTAAGCAATTGCTGTGAAATGACAGGAGTTTTGCCACTAAACCAAACTTATTACTTGATAAAATAATGTACTAAATGCTATTCAATAGATACTTAATTTGAATTTAATGAAAAAAAAAATTGTCAAAACATTCTTTTCAAAAGGGTCTCGTTTTCGAATAATTTGGTGATTTGTTAATAAAACGTAATTCGAGGATTCGCCACCAACCTTTAATTAGGGTATAATTGGGCAATCAAAAAGTATTTGTTATTTTAATAAAAATATTAATATTAATTAAAACAATAAATTTGTTATATGTGCTACCAAAATTTGAGTTTGGGAGTCGGTTACGTGTGGGGAAGGATTAATACCCCCACATCTTCGTAAATCGATACCTAGTCGATTAATTAGTTGTATTTGCAATGAAATTTAAAAATTCGAGTCTAATATAATTCAAGATCTTACACAAATAAGATTCTTTGAATTTTAGGACAAAACATAATAATATTTAATTATTTTCTATCGAGAATAATCGACCTCTTATACCTTAAAACAATTGTCCTATCGAGAATAATCGACCTCTTATACTTTAAGACAATCGATTCTTACTCCAATCGAAATAAAGAAATATTACAATTTCATTCTAAAGTTAATTATTAATTTAAAATAACAACACAAAAATAATTTTAAGAAAGAAAATGATAATATCAAATTATTTCCAATCGAGAATAAATAATCTCTCATGCCTTAAAGCAGTCATTTATTACTTCGACTGACATGAAGAGATATTACTATTTCGTCTTAAAATTCAATATTGATTCAAGAGAAAACGATAATATCTAATGATTTCCAATCGAGAATAAATGACCTCTCATGTTTTAAAACAGTCATTTATTACTCCAATAGAAATGAAGAGATATCCCTATTTTGTCTTATAAATCAATATTGATTCGAGAGGGAAAATAGTAATATCTAATTATTTCTAATCGAGAATAAATGACATCTCATGTCTTGAAGCAATCATTTATTATTCTAACCGAAATGAAAAGATATTATGATTTTCAATATCAATTCGAGTGTTACTATTTTGAAAAATCATTGAAAAACACATGCAAAAATAAAAACGAATTAGAAGCATACACCAAACAAGTACAATTAATTATTTATTTCACCAACATTTAATGAAAATAAGGATGTTCAATTATTTAAATACATCGAGCTTAAATTAGATTTAACACATTTGCATTTTGCCTCTCTTTCTCTTTCCATTTGGCCTAGAAGCTCCCTCTTCCTGCTTTGCAGCCTTCAGAGCTTCAATTAGTCTGTTCAAACGCTTTTCGACATTCTCGCCTTTGAACTTTGGGTTTAAATTATCTGCGACATCTGCAGGTGTCATGTTGGTTTTACCCAACAGTTCACCGATTTCATCAAAGAGTAAATGAGAACCGATTTTCAAGTAATTGTTTGCTAACACCTTGAATGCTTCGAAGCAACAATACGACATTTCTATGTGTTTGTCCATTCTTCCTCTCCTGATTAGAGCTTGGTCAAGCTTCTAAGGGTAATTTGTGGTGAAAACAATGATTCTTTCGCCCCCACATGATGACCAAAGTCCATCAATGCAATTCAAAACACCTGATAAAGTAACCTTACTCTCTGTTGTCTCATCCGTTTCTTTTTTCAGCTCCTTACTGATTGGATCCAGGTCATCGTCTTTCTTTATCTTCCTCTTCTTGCTCTCTCTTTCACCCGTAATATCAAGAGAACAATCGATGTCCTCGATTACTAGGATCGATTTGCTTGTCGTGTCGATCAAAAGCCTCCTCAACTCCGTGTTATCTTTGATTGCAGTAAGTTCGAGATCATAAAGATCGTACTTCAAATGATTAGCCATAGCAGCAATCATGGTTGATTTGCCGGTACCAGGTGGACCATAAAGCAGATAACCTCGCTTCCAAGGCTTGCCAATCCTTTCATAATCATCTCTCCCCTCTTTGAACGTATTGAGATCATTGATGATTTCCTCTTTCCTCTTTGCATCCATCGCCAAAGTGTCAAATGATGCAGGATGTTCAAAAGCAACATGGCTCCACTTTGGATTGGATCCATTCCAAAACTTGCTTGGATTGTTCGAGTAAAGCTTTCGCAGCCGGTTACCTTGCCCAATTGCTTTCCCATCCTCCAACACCTTAGGAATATAATACTGAATAATGTGTTCCTTGTCGCGGTTGCGGAATTTCAGCTGGTAGTACTTCTCGTCGACAGCTGGATACACCGAGAACTGAATCGATCTCGGGACATTCCTGTTTGATGTCCACCAAACTTTGATCCCTCCATCGGACACATCAAGAATTTCTTCATTATAATCCATGCTAAGCACCAAAGACCGACTATCTTTGAGGGCATCAGCCTTAAGCCTGTTAGCGGAGGCAGAGGATTTCTCACTGAGATAGTTCTGAATCGCAGTGAATGCCTCGTTACGCCGCATATATGCATTGGTGAATTCAGGGAAGGTAATTTGAGAATAAGGGAAAGCAAGATTCGCCAGCTTTCTGCCATATTTCTCAATACCATCAAGCAGGTATTGAGGGAGGTGTTCACGAGCCATGGTATAAAAGAACACCATAGTTGCTGTGGAATAAACAATAGCAAAAGTTGCCATTGTTGAGCCAAGGTCCAATGACATATCACTCATCCTCTTCTATTGTAGTAATTTGTGGTTATGACCTGCAAAACTGAATCAACTGGCAATATATAGAGAGAGAACAAGCAGATAGGTACTGAAATTTCCTCATGACTACAACTGAGTTTCCACCAAAGTTCCACACTATTACAACCGAGTTTCTACTTATGCAATTCAGGTTTTTCCTTGGGGCATAGTATCCTATACCTAAATATAGGCACACATCATATAGGGATGTCAAGCAGAGTATTTTAAGAAAAATGAAAAGTTCGATAAACTGGATGAGATGGTTAATAATTTTTTATGATAATAAAGAGAATTAGATAGGCAATCAAATTTCCTCCCTAAAATTGCACTATTTATTTTAAATATTAGTATTTAACATATATTCCGAGTAAAGTATGAAGGTATGATCTTTTAAATATATGAAATAATTCAGGAAAAAAAATGAACATGCCAATATCAAATAGATATTCATATCCAACACTTCAACTTAATTTCTACCAAATTTCAAAGCCCATAAAAAGTAAAGT